CCGGAGCCCCTGCCGGGAGCTCTACGACGGGCAGGAGCTCATCGCCAGCGAAGTGGCGGTCAGGTACCTGCGCTGCGTCTCACAGGTAAGAGGCGAGCAGCCCCGCGGCCGCTGTGCGAGGCCGGGTGCCCTCAGCCGGAGCCCTTCCCTCCAGGGGAAATCCTGGTGGCAGTAAAGCTGCAGGAAGCAAGACGGGCAGTTCTGCAGGGGCGCAAGGTGCTCAAACAAAGCATTGTGCCTCCAGCATGGTGCTGAGATTACAGCCATGATTCGTCCCCGTAATTTGGTCCCCCGTCTCGGCCTCCGACGCTGTGCCCAGGTAGTTATATGGCAGTTATACAAGGAGTTATATGGCCCCTTGACTGAAGCAGCCCGCGGACCAGGGATTCACGTGGGTGTTATTACGCAGCTGGCAGTTTGCCATCCACTATCATAACTCATTGGTCACTGGTGGTTGCTCTGGCTGCTTATTGCAACACGCGCAAGTGATGTGCTGGTAACTGTCTATACCGCTTGCGTTTGCCCCTTGCGTGGAAGCAGCCAGCACTTGTTTTTTAACCCCAACAGCTAGCCACAAATGAAGAAGTGTCACGAACTGCTTGGCCTGTACTTAATCCTTCTCATGCTTTCTGCTTTTGGCCACCATTGGTGACAGGATGCTCTGACCCAGTACGGTCACTCATATATATTACTATTTAAATACACAGCCAAGATATTATGTATCCTAACACAGAGAGGGGATATTCAGCAACTCAACCCCACCCCTCCCTGCACTCCTTGGGGCAGATAAGAATGATCATCCCTGCTTTAAGAAAAGAAACTGAGGCACGATGACTTCCCCAAGGATATGCAGCCGATTTTCCCGTTCAGACAGGAGCAGACCCAGGCACCGCACTGTGGGAAGGGCTCCCAGGGAGTCGCAGTGCCTCCACGCAGCCTCCCCCCGGGTGCACTATGAGGGCTGTGTTTGCACCGCAGCCTCCTCCAGCGAGCTCTGCCTGCACGGCCCCGGCGACCCACAGCGGCGGGACCTTGGGCTGGGTGCTTGATGTGGGCTGGTATTATTTATTTAGTCACTGCCTGCTCATGCAAAATACAGCCGAAAAGCAGAGAGCTGCTGCGGTCGTGCGTGCATCTGACACAACTACCGCGCACGTGCTCATGCACCGCCACCGTACATTTGCCTCTGCAAGGTGAACGTAGCCAAACGTCCCAAGGGGAGTCACGCACCCCGGCAGGCTCTTCCCCGCGTGACGCTCAGGTCCCCCCTCGCCCCTGCAGGCGCTGGGCTGGTGCTTCGTGCTGCTGGTGACGCTGCTGGCTTTCCTGGTCAGATCGCTGCGGCCCTGCTTCACCCAGGCGGCCTTCCTGAAGAGCAAGTACTGGTCCCACTACGCCGACATCGAGCGCCGGCTGTTCGACGAG